GGTTGTAGATTCAAGTTTTTGATGCAGTTTTGTTTTTGTTTTTCAAAACAGGGCCCTTTCAGCATGTGAATTGTTTCCCTCAGCCTGCAGGAGCAGATGCTGCAGCGCAGCCTCGCTCACCCTCCTGCCCGGTCGATAGAGCCTCGTGTGCCCGGCCGCAGGGACATGCACCTACGCCAAGAGCATTGTATCATCCCCGGGACAGCACAAACAACCTTCATCCACCACCAGAAAAACAGTCTGATGCATCTTGGCATGTGCTGCTACGCCTCCACCCATCCTTCCGCCGGCCCCTTGCATCCCCCGTGAACCCCGCTGCAGGCGGCCGAGATGCATCGGCAGCAAGAAAACACCCGGGGGCTTCTTCCAAATGCCCCTCGCTCGTGCTGGCGCAAGGATGGCTGCGGAGAGCAGAAGCCTGCAAGGGGACATTTGGTCACCCCGATGGGCTCACCCCAAGCTGCGCCGTGCCTGGGTGCACGCTCTGCCCTGGAGAAAGGTGCTGTCGCAATGCAGCCAGCGGAAACAGTGCCCAGCGAGGCTGAAGGACACGAAACCATGGTGGGGAACCTGCGAGGGCAGGGCCGGCCCTGGAGAGAGGGCAACGCTCAGGGGCACGGGGGGCTGCTGGGGCCCCTCGCCTGCTTGGCCTGACCCTGAGTTTGGGTCATCCTCTGCGCCTCTGCAAGGGTGGGATGCAGGACGGGGGCGGGAGGCAGGACTGGGACAGGAGGCTGAGCACCTCCGAGCCAGGGAGAGTCAGCACCTCCCAGCGGGATTCCTCCCATCCCAAGCAGTGTCAGAGGACTGGCCCCAGGATCCCTGAGGATGGGTGGCTCAAATCTGGGGGGCTGACAAGAGCCAAGCAAGTCCCAGCTCAACATGGGACCCACTTGCCCATCCTTCCCCAGGGGCTCCGTGCTGCGCCCCCTGCCCGACGGTGCAATGGGGCCAGTCTGTCAATGCCCCCCCCCACCCCCCTCAGTGCTCCTAATTAAGCATAATGCAGCGGAATTTAATCCTGCGGCCACTGCTGTCGTATCTGGAGGCTCGTGTGGTCTGCTTGCAGCCCTGCTCCATTCCTGAGCAACCACAAGAGTTTTCCATCCTCTTTTGATTAGCGTGCGGTCGCCGCCCCACAGCTCCCCGCCAGTTTGCCCCAAGCAGGGCCAGAAGCCCCCCGCGCACCCAGGGAGGTGGGCCCTGGCCTCACCAAGTGGTCCCCTTCTGACAAAACTCACAGCCTCCCCCCAGCACGGCTGTCCCATCAGCTGGGGGGGACATTTCTTCTGCCCCAAATCAACTCGTTTCTCAGAAAACCATCCCAAGACGGAAGTCAGCTGCTAATCAAAAGGGAGCTGGCCCCTGACCTTCCACCGCGGGGCTGCCAGGCCAAGCTGGAGGCTTTGCCGGGCTCTTAAGCATAGCCAAAGAAACAGGGCTTGGCTCAGCCAAAGGCAGTGGCACCACCCCACAGGCCAATGATGGGGGACCTGGGTGCTCCCCCCACCCCCTTTGGGGATCACCCAGCTGTGGAGGGGACACGGCCCCCCCAGCCCAGACTCCCTGATGAGATAAACCCTACCAGGAGCTGTGAGGTCCCGGCCACCAGCAGGTCTCTCCTGCTGTCCCTATGCCCCCAAACCTTTCCCAGCTCCCCCCCAAACCCTCCTGGGCCTTGTCCCTGCTCGGAGGAGCTGCAGCAGCCGTGGTTCAGCCACATCTGTGTCTGATTTTCCAGGCGAAGCCACATTCGCCCGTGGGACGCAGAGGCTGCTCTGGGAAGCCCCGCGGGAGCAGAGGACGCAGCCAGATGCCAGGCTCAGGATGTGGTCACTTGGCCAGGAGGAAAGTGGGGCTGGAGGGGCACGGACTGAGCACCACTGGTTTGGGGCAGAGGCAGGAGAAAGCTCCCCCCCCCAGCCTGCTTGGAGGGGCCCAGCCAAGAACAGGCTCAACATGGCCCTGGAGAGGGGATGACGCGGAGCTGGAAGCACGTCCTGCTGTGAGCCGAGGCGCTCCATGACCTCATCACCACATGCTCCTGATGAGGAAGGAAAAGCATCTTTTATAAAGAAATAACCTTTGCCCGGGCTTTTCCTCGGGGAGAGAGTGTGACCCAGGGCCAGCACCATTCACCCTTTCTACGACAGCGAGCGATGATGAGCCCTCCAGACACGAGGTGCCCTGACTCTGCTCCCCCATCCGCAGGACATGGGGACAAATACAAGGACAGGGGGATAGATACGGGGACAAGGGGATGTAGCTCAAAGTCGTGCCATAGCTGAGATCCACCTCCCCAGCCCACCTCTGCCATGTCCCTGGGGCACCCCACGTTGCCACCGTGCTCCTGTGGGTGCCACGTCCCCCCCATGTCCTCAGCACACACAGAGCTGAGCTGAGCGGCTTCGCAATGCAGTGGCCAGCATTGGGAAACAGGGGCAGGGGAAGTCGAGCCTGGGCTAATAAACACATCGAAACCGTTTGTGGTTTCCGTGTGGATCATGTCCCTCCCCCCCTCCATCCACTGGAGACGCCCCCACGCTCCCTGAGCATCCCCCGCAGCCAGCCCCATGCCAGCACAGCCAACAGGCGAGCACAGGAAGGGAAATGCCAATTAATGAGAAGGAAAACAAATTCTTTCCAGGGAGCATGACACAGTGCTGGGCCGGGGCCCATCTCCATCCCCAGGGATGCCCAGCCAATGTGAAGCTGCTGGTTCCTCTTCCCCAGCATCAGGGCGGTTGCTTGAAAGCTCCAGGGCACTCTGCCTTTGCCCCATCCCTTCCCCGTGTAGCTGGGGCTCAACGTCACCACAAAATGTTTGACCCCAAAAGCAGCACCTTTGCTTCAGGGGGAAAAAACAAACAAACCAACTGAACCCCAGGGAAGCCATGGGGTTGCTCTGCCTCCCCCCACCCCAGATGGAAAAATGCGGTTTGAAACTGGGGCCACTCATGGGCTGACATCCCTTTTTGGGGGAAGGTTTGCAAGGAGCAGGGATGGGAAGCACGTGTGCCTGTGCCGCCCCCGGAGGTGCTTCACCCTGCTCCCCATCCCGTTCCCTAGGTGAAGGTTTTGTTTGGACCAAAACCCTCAGAGGCAGAGTGCTCGGGGCTGCTGACGGAGCCGCTGAGACACCGCAGGACCGGAAAGCAGAGGGGAGACCTCGAGGAAACGCCTGACTGCCAGCCTCAAACACCCCACCAGCCGCGTGGTGACAACGGGTGACACCGGTGACTCAGAGGCAGCGGGGAGGGAGCACATTCCCCATTCCTGCCTTGGTGCCACTGTGCTGCCCCCGTCCCCAGCACACCGAGCCCAACACCTGGCCCAGGCTCTGCGGGGACAGACTGGTGCTGAGGATCCTGCCCACAGTGCCCACAGCCAGGGCAGGAGGCACCTGCAGCAGGACCGTCTCCACGCTGCAGGTTTCAGAAGAAATAGAGCCCCAAAAGGTGCAAACAAATCGCTAGCTCCTCTTCACATGGCACCTGGCACAAGGCACGGGGCAGGAGCTGAGCTGTTATTGCAATTGAGAGAAGATGGATAGGATTTAGGGGCAGGACTGGGACAGGAGCCCAGCAGCCTCCCTCCTTCTCTCCAAAAAATCATTTACTGAGCCTGGAAGGCAAATTTATCCTCCCCAGTACCAGGGCAAACACTTGCCCACTGTTTTCTATTAGCTCCCAGGATTCACCTGGACCCAAGTGGCTGAGCAGCAGCCAAGCAGTTTTCTCCCCTCTGGAAAGGGAAAACTGGATCCTGGCGGGGGTTTGCTGGGCAGGCTGGGAGCGGGGGGGGTAATTCCTGCGAAAAGGCAAGCACCGGGGGGGTGAACTCAGCACTATGCCCACACACAGCTCTCAGGGCTGGGCTGGGAGATGGAGCCATGAGCAGGATCCGTCCCCAGTGGTTCTGGAGCAGGTGGCTGCGTTGGGGGATGCTTGGCGAGCTGGAGGCACGGATCACACCTCCCCACACACAGCACGCTGCTTTCAGACCGTTTCCCCCTGGGTTTCATGCATTCCAGCCAGGCTCCGCTGCTGAGTCACACTTGGCCGGCAAAGAGGACCTGGCGGAGGAAAAGGGACTCCCCCCCCATCTGACACCCTCTTGGTCGCCCAACGGGCCAGGGCCATGCAGGGACACCCACATTAATGGGGTGCTCATGTCACCAGGGGTCCCGGATTAATGGGGCACCCTCACCTCTGGGGTCCCCTCACCTCCAAGGAAATCTTCATGGGACACCCTTGTCCCTGGGTACACATGGTTCTGGGGCACCCTCATCTCCAGGTCCACTTTGGCTCGACAACGTCTCTGTTAACAGGGAACCCTCATCTCTGAGACACCCTTATTAATGAATTGCCTTCATTAATGTGACAGCCTCCTCTCCAGCACATCCCACTCCGGTCCCATCGCTGAAGGTTGCCAGCCCTGTCTGGCAGCCCTATGGTGCTGCATCCCTTGGGTTTTGGGGTTAGATGCCTTCGGGGTACTGGAGGTTGCATGGGGCTGCCAAGCATCACCTCTGCCCCCCAGCGTGTGAGCAGCTCTGGGCCTGGCTTTGCACTTGCAGAGCAGGAAAACAGCTGTGGCTTGGAAGAAAGGAAAGATTTAGTTTTCCTCCTCCATAGGAATGAGACCAGGGGAAGGAGAAGCAGCTCTGTCCTGGGCGGTCCCAGCAGCTGGTTTACTTTCCTCCTTGCATATTTGGGAGGGTTTTTATTTAGCTGATACAAACGATGTTTGAGGTCCTTTTTATTCTAGTTTCCTCCCGGCAACAGTCCGAGATGAGTCAGAAATAAAAAAATAAAAAATAAAAACAAAGAAGAAGGGAAGCAAAGGCAAAACTCTCATCTCTCTCACCCAGCTGGTGCCAGAGCTGCCAGTGGAGCCACAGAGGTGTTGGGTGCTCAGCCCCAGATGGGTCTGGGGGGATTTGGGGGAACACTTCTGTTCCCTGCACTTGGGGTGCTGGCATCAATTACTCAAGGCTGTGTTATGCTAGGCGCATTCCCTGGTCTGTGCCGTTCCTGAGCAGGATTTTGGCAGGGGCGAGGATGGGCTTACTCAGGCTGGAAGGGAGCTGGCTCCTCTGGGGAGCAGGGAGGAGATTTAACCCCTCCGGCGAGCTGGGCACTGCTCCCACCCCACTCTCATCCCAAGTCCTTCCCAGGGACCAAAGGTGACGCCAGCAAAACCCTGGTGAGAAGCAGCACACTTCTTCCTTTGCCCCAAATATTTGGGGTGATGAGGCCAGGGAGGGGAAAACCAAGCCAGGCAGTGAGTCCCCACGTGTGTTTCAAAATAGCCAGCAGCAGGGTTTGGCCAGACACAGCGACCGCTGACCCGTGCATCCCGTTCTCGCCGTGGCCACAGATCCCCACCAGCGCCAGCACCATCCCTCCAAGGGATTTTGGCAGAAATGAGCCCAAATCAGTGGCAGGAACTGGGGCCACTGCTGTGCTCCCACTGGAGAGCAAAGCCACGCCATGCGAGGGAGCCGTGTGGAGCTGCTGCTGAGCGCCTGCTCCATGGCTGGTGTCTGTCCCAGCAACAGGAAGGCAACTCTTGCCAGATCATAATTAATGAATATTATCAAAATACCTGGAGATAGCGTGAAAAGCCCTAAACAGAGAATATTCCCCCATCACAGCTTTTTCTCTCCATCAGTGCCACTCAAGCGGCCCCGTGCTGTGGAGTGGTGCCAGAGGCAGACACGCAGCTGCCCCACACCACTGAGCAGCGCTGTTTACAGCCAAAGAAACCCGCAACAGCAGTCAGCACCCTGAGTGGGACTTTGGCAGGCAAAACAGGCTTATGCAGGCTGGAAGGGAGCCAGCAATTCCCAGGAGCAGAGGAGGAGATTTAACCCCTCCGGTGAGCAGGACTGCAGGTCAAATGCACCTCAAGCCCCCTTTTATTGGCACAGGGTCACCCTTGTGTCCCGGGGAGACCTGGAGCTGGGGGCCACCTTGCTGTATGTAGGGACACCTGTGCTGTGCGTCCCATGGGGTGGTGTCCCCTCCCTGGGGCTGGTGTCCCCAGCTGGGACCTGCAAACCCTTTTCCGTTCTTCTGAGAAGTGGCTGCATCCTGCACGCTGGGGCTGGCTGTATCTGTCCTCCCTGCAGCCACGAGCTGTTGCTCACAAATAAAAACAAAAGGGGAGAGTTATAAATAACCAGCCTAGTAGCCAAAAAAGCTATCTGCGAAGGCGACAGTGAGGATGGTGCCGTATGGAGCATCGCTTATGTGGTCTGAGCTGCTGCAGAACTGGGCTTTCCTCTCCATCTGCTGCTCCTCAGCCTTCCCCAGACTGCCCATGGCCCCAGGACTTTGCCGTCTGTGTTCTTGATGTCTGGCTTTGCACCACCCTGAAAGCTAGAAGCATGCTGCTTTATTTTTTTTAGTGCAAGCTGACATTTTCAAGCAGTCACCCAATTTCAGCATCTGGAGCCAGATGCTGAAGCCTTTTTATGGGCTGGAGTGCCCATGTGCGTGAGCCGTCCTGGCTGGCACCCTCTGCATAGCCCTCCGGTGTGGCATCTCGCAGAGAGGCTCGAGGAGCATCCTGCAGCACTGCTCTGGACATCACCTTGAGGGCACCTGAACCCCAGCACGTCTGTGGACATCTCTTGCTGGCAGGGACTGAGACAGCTCAGAGCTCCCCCTTAGGCTCAGCTCCCTGCAGTCCCATGGGCCAGCCTTGGCCAAGGCATCTCCAAGCAGACGGGCAAAGACCAGGGAGGCACCAGCAGGCACTCTGCAGGCACCAGCATCACTCCGGTGTCAGGCCCAGCTCCGACACACATATCGCTCTAGGACCACCTGTGTCCCATGACAGCAGTGACACAGACACTTAGTGGCCCCAGGACGTTCCTGGAGGCATCTCAGGAGGCCTCCATGGTCCTCTGGCCGGGCTGGCATGATCCATCCCCTGTCTCCCAGGGCCTGGATGCAGAGGTGAGACATTCAAGCATCTTCATGCACAAGCAACTGGAAGACATCAAATCCTAAGCTCCTTTCCCAGCCCTGTTGGCATATTCAGCCCTTGCTGATGAGAAGCCTGGTGACTTGTAGTTATCTTCTAAACAGTTGGTTAACCACCTGGTTTTACTATTCTCTTACTTTTGCCATGTCTGTCGGTACCACAGACAGCAAACACCTTCCAAACAAGGAGAAAAAAACACCAGCTTTTGTTTTGGTCTATTCCGAACAAGTTGCTTGGGTCTTGCAGATAAGACAGATTGAGATGTGCCAAAAAAGACAGAGCGAGCATCCAAGTCCTCAGAAGTTTGGAGAATCTTTTATAACAGTTTACACAGAGCATTTTTAGGACATTGATCAGGCCCTTGCTGGCTGGCAAAAGGTCTTGGATGCTCATGGCATCCAGGCACACGTCCCTCCTGGTGTCCAGCAGAAGCTGCACTGGGCTGAATAAGACTGGGAGCCAGCTCCTTCTACTCCCTGGCCAACTTCCCATGGAAGTCACACAATAGGGAAGGTCAAACATTTTTCCATTCTGAGTATTTATCGATGGAATGACGTTTTTCTGGCAGGAAGCACTTGCCTTTCAGGGAAAAAACAGCCATATGTGTCCACTCAGCAACCGCATGTCCCCAGTAAACCCCAGCTGCATTGGTCTGGAAGCAGCACAGGGGGACTGGGGACCATGGGTGTCTGCACCCATCCTGGACCAGGGAGCACCGGGGAGTGCAGGAGATGCCACCTGATGGTGAGAGCAGCAGGAAAGGTGAGATTTGGGTTCACACACTCACCGCCCCACTGCTGTTTCCCCTCTCCAGTTCTGCCCCCTTTTTGCAACCAGCTTTGACCATGTGGGGGTTTCACTCAGCTAGGCAGCTGAGCTCCACCACAACCACTCCCTCACTCCTCCACCTCAAAGGGAAAGGGGGAGAAAATTCGATGGAAAAGGATCAGGGGTTGAGATAAGGACGGGCAGATCACTCAACAGTTATCGTCATGGGCAGAACAGACTCACCAGAGGGAGATTAATGTAATCTATTACCTATTTCTAACAAGCTAGAGCAGTGAGAAACTAAAACTAAAAACACCTTCCTGACATCCACCCTCTTCCACCTCCTCCCCCAAAGGGGTGCAGGGGAACAGGGGCTGCGGTCAGTCCCTGATGCTTTATCTCTGCCACTCCTTCTCAGTCCCTCTCTGCCCCTGCTCCCCGTGGGTCCCTCCCATGGGATGCCGTCCTTCCCGAAGTGACCCTGCAGGGGCTGCCCACAGGCAGCAGCTCTTCAAGCAAGGCTCTGTAGCACAGGGAGCAAACTGCTCCAGCACAGGGCCCCCACGGGCGGCAGCTCCCCCCAGACTCCCTGCTCCACGTGGGCTCCTCTCCACAGGCTGCAGCTCCGGCCCGGGGCCTGCTCCTGCAGGGCTCTCCATGGGCTGCAGCCTCCTCCAGGCCACATCCACTGCTCCAGCGGGGGCTCCTCCAGCCATGGGGGGGCTGCAGCGTGGAGATCTGCTCCATGTGGGACCCATGGGTGCAGGGGGACAGCCTGCTCCACCAGGGGCCTCTCCACAGGCCGCAGGGGAACTGCTGCTGTGAGCCTGGAGCACCCCCTGGCCTCCTGCTGCACTCACCTTGGGGGCTGCAGGGCTGCTTCTCACTCTTCCCTCTGTCAGCTACTGTGTGGCAGTGTTTTTTCTTCCTTAAATATGCTCTCAGAGGCACAAACAACATCCCTTATGGGCCCAGCTTTGGCGAGCAGCAGGGCCCTTATCTAACATGGGGCAGCTTCTGGATTCTTCTCACAGAAGCCACCCCTATGGTCCCTGCTACCAAAACCTTGCCACATAAACCCACTACAGACCCAGCTCCTCCAACCTCCAAGGACAGACTGGACCCAAGTGACTCCCCATGGCAGGTCTGTCCACCTCAACCTTCCCTCATCCCGCCCCGGTGACACTGTGGGAACCTCCTGGCATGGGTTCCCCGTAGCTCGCACTTCTTCCACTTCTCGATGCAGACGGCATCTGGCCGCCCTTTCACAATTTCCTCCAGCATTACTTGGTCAAGTGTCAGCCCGGTGCACGCTGCACCCACGTGCTCGGTGGCACGGTCCCCATGTGTCCCTGCTCTCAGCAGCCCCAGGCTCAACGCACCGACCACGAGGCCACGTTGGGCTTTGACGCAGAGGAGCGCGTCACCAGTAGGGTCCCCTCGTATTTTGGGGAAGGGAAGCACTTATTGCAATTAAACACAGCGTTGCCTGGTCACAGCCTTTTTTGGCTGCATCCTCTGCATCCCGACCAGCTCAGAGTCATATGTTCGCATCGCCTGCTGCGTCCTTATTCACAGCCCTCATCACCCACCCGGGCTCCTGGAAAGACCCCCTCGCAAGCACCATCACCCCATCCTCCCCCAGCCACAGCCACATTCACCCATGCATGAAAGCAAATCAGATGTCGAGGCTGCATCAGCAATGGGACCAAGTCCCCTGACCGGCTCTGCCTGCTCCACCCAGGCAAGAAGTTTGACTCACTGTCTTCGAGGAAAGCACTGGGGCTCCCAGGATCTGCAGGGTTGCTTCCTCTGCCAACCCCATGAGGGATTTGGTGGCTGAACTTTGATGACCTCTGAATTTGTGGGGTTTTAGGGGCAGAGGGAAGTGCCTGGCATCCCTGGGATGCTGCCAAGGGCCAGATCCTGCTGCTAGGAAGGGTGCTGCTTGGGAGGGAGGGGGCAGGTTGGAAGCTTTTAGGTTAGGCTCACCCCCAGGCTGGGCAGCAAGGATAAGGAGGAATGGGGTGGGATGCAAGGGATGGGCCTGTGGCCATGGAGATGCCAGCTCTTCCTGTGGGGGGATTCATCCCAAACACCAAACAGGAAGCAGAATAAAAGCCTGGCAAGCTCTCCCTGGGCTCACCGTGCTGCTCAAGCCTCCCCACACTGTGCACAGCAGGGAACGATCTTGTGTCCCCAGGAGGGGCACAGCCCCGGGCATGGACAACCCCTGAGCTCTGCCCTTCTGCCCCCCCCCCGCTGCACCTCTCACCCACCACTTCCCCCAAAACCCATCCTCCCGACTATTCCAGGGCCTGGGAAACACCAAGAAGCACCTCCAGCGCCTGCAGCCATTTGCAGCAGCTCAGCCGCCCCCGGCTTGGCTGAAACCTGCTCATTTGCATGCTCTCATCGCCTCTAATTAAACCCATGTGCTGCCACTGCCCGTTTGTCTCCCACCGCCTCTGGAAATCCCCGGGTGCCGCCGCTGTCTGCGGGTGCTGCTCTGTGCTGGGGCTCGGCCGCGGGTCCGGGGCAAACCCCTTGCTGCTGGCACAGGGAGTACAGCTACACCAGCAGCGGGTTTGGGGGGCTTCTGACCCTCATCTGGGGGCAGGGGGGTGAAGCCTCCCTCACCTGTGGTGGTCAGAGAGGAGTAGGGAAGCAATGAGGGGGTGGCATGAGGGTGGCCCCAGGGACGCCAGCTTTCTTTCTTCACCCCAAAACCTAGCTGCTTTCTGCAGGTGTGCAGCCAACGCTATGGGTCTGGCTGCTTCTCTGGAGGAAAAAAAATTAATATATATAATATAAATATATAAATATAATTAATATAATATAACTTTTATATAATTTATATAATATAAATATATAATTTATAATTATATATAATTATATAAAAATTATAATTTATATATATTTTATATAATATAAATATATAAAAAATTATTTTTTTTTATATATATATATATATAAAACTTTTTCCATGGGTTTCTCCTTCACCAGGGGTCGTATACCACACCTAGGTGGCTGGGACAATGGCCTGGGACTTGGAGGGACCCGAGCAGTCCCTGCCCTCTGCCCCGCAGCCTCCCGGCACTCCTCAGCCATCACAGCTCTGTGGCTGCTGTTTTACTTTTTGGCCTCTGCAGAGCAAAACCTTAACACATGAAGATTACCAGCCTGCCAGGTCTCTGCAGCTCAGCTGGGGCCACCAACTGTGCAGCTGTTCTGGCACACCGGCCGCCTGCGAGCATCCTCTTGGGCACCCTGCAGAAATGAGAGAGAGGAGCAGCAGCGGCGGGGTAACAGAGAGGAGAGGAGGAGGCTGCTCAGGTGTGGCTTTCAAAAGCCTCCGAGGATGCTGCAGCAGGGATCTGGGGAAGCTGGTGCACCAGTAACACCCTGGAGCTGTCCTCCTGCTCCTGCAAAGGGAACACCACCCAAGGACTCACAGGAGCGAGTGGTTTGGTGGGCACACCAAGAGGTCCCTCTGGGGATGAAGGTGGAGGGGAGGCAGCACCCCCAGGGCAGAGAGCCACAGCGGGGTGACAGGGATCCAGCTCTCATCACCTACACCAGCTTCATGATGCCCTCATGTGGCAACCGTGCGGTGCAGGCGCCACCCAGGCAGGATGCGACCCAGGAGTGTCACCATGGCTGCACACTCACCATAAGAGAACCAGATGCGCCCCAGCCCAGGGTGACAGCGGGGAATGAGCCAGCAGGACATGAAGAGCAAGCAGGGACAGTGATGTCAAGGCGTCACTGAGCATCCCTGTATCTCTCCACTTTTCACCCCAAAATGGCATCCCAGCCCATTGCCAGGACAGCTGGGTCATCTGGGCACATTGTCACTGCCACTTGGAGAGGCCACACAGTGGGCAGGAGGACTTGGTGGATTTGGGCATCGCCGACAGGGACATCCCGGCCCTGGGGGCTGTGCCAAGCAGCACACTGAGCCATGCCAAGCTGTGCTGAGCCATGCCAACCACTCCTCTGGCCCAGGCAGAAAGGTTCGGTGCAGTTTCCCAGCCCCCGAGGGGTTAACGGCCCCCCACGTCCCTGCCCGGTGGTGAAATGACGAGGAGCTGCCAGTCCCCAGCAATTAAGCAGCAGGTCCGGGTACACCGCGGCCCACCCCGCGCTTCGCCTCGCTGACGTGGGGACGGACCCGGGCTGCCGGTGGTTAGCGCCGCTGGCCAGCACCCAGCCACCAGAGCCGCAGCTGCTCCCCGGTGGCACCTGGCCGGGAGCGATGTGTCACCGGCCCTTCCCGGAACCCGCGGCCCTGCTGTCCCTCTCTGCCTGCACACCCCCAAGTCTGCCCCAACCCTGAGGCCGGATCCTGCCCCTGCAGCCTCAGCAGATGCAAGAGAAAATCCCCGCACTGGGATCAGGACGTGTCCCCTGGGCTGTCCCCTTCGCATGTGCCTGTGTCCCCCCCCCCCAGTCTGGAGCAGAAAATTCCCTCGGGGCTCCTATGCAGCAATGCAGGCCAACGCTGAAAACCTAGCCGGGGGGACACATGGGAGCTGCAGGACGGGGCCTTTTCCTCCCCAAAAGCGCCGTGTCTGGTGGCCAACCCACTGGTTTTGCTCATTTTGACACCTGGGGGTTTCCAAACCCAAAAATGGCCCCAGGAAGGGGAATGGGGGGGCAGCAGCCCCCACCAGCACCCAGCACTGCTTCTAATGTCCCTCTGGAAAAAAGCAGCCCCCAGGTTTTGCTCCAAGTCCAACTTGTTTGGGTTGCCTGGAAACGGCGTTTTCGGATGGCGGGCACTGGAGCGGTGGCCAAGTCCAGCTCCTTGCTCTGTGCTCTGCCCCATCCTCCGCCTCCGCTCAGGGCCGCTGGGCTGGGAAAGAGCCTCCAGCTCTGCTCTTGGCTCTTCCCAAGGATGCTTTTGGTCCCTGGGGACTTTCCGAGCCTGGGGAAGGGCAACGGGGCCCAGCGGGGCTGAGCACTGGCAAACACCTCTGGTTGTGAGCCAGGGCGGTCGGTGGGGGAAGAAAAAATAAAATAACACATTTCGTAATATTTTACAGTAGTGCTGCAGCTGATGCCATCCCCAGCTTGCCTAGCGGGGTGACTGGGAGGTGTGGGGCAAGAGGATGGGAGACAGCATTGGAATTGCCAGAGAAAAACCCCGCATGGGGTTTTCACGATCCCTAAAACAGTGATGAAATAATTCCCCAACATAAATCCCCGGGGGCTGCTCTCCTGTCCCTGCTGGCACCCAAGGCTGAGCCGGTGTCACTGTGTCCCCTGCGGCAGGGACCGGGTGGTGCCGGCACCTGGGTTAATGAGTGCCCAAAGGACACAGGGTTTATGGCCAGTGTGGGGACTTTGCTTCCTCGCAACGCCACGGCGCGTCACATCCCCAGGGCCACCGCTGGGGACAGTCCCCAGGGCAGAGCCTGGTACCACAGGGCCCGGCTGGGTGGGAGGGGGCACCCCAGTGCTCCCAGTAAGGGTCACTGGGTGGCCCCCTGCCCGCTGCATGATGCAGTGCCATCGTGCCACAGGGCAGCCAGTGCTGGCTGGTGGCAGTGGGGGCGTCATGGGGATGGCACACTGGGTGGCCGCAGATCCCAAACACCGTGTACGCTGCCCCGAGCAGAACTGGGCTTCACAGGATGGGTGGGAGGCATTTTGCCCCGTACCCCAACCCCCTCCCCGTGCCCCCCCTCTCCTCTAGGTCCCCTCCCCCTTGGGGACAGGGAGGATGAGGTTGGGGACACAGACACAACCCCTCACCTTGCGTGTCTCTATCTACTGTTGGGGTTGGCATAGCAGGGGGTGGCGGTAGCCCCAAACCTCCCCCGGGCTCTGTGATGCCCCACAGCAGGACCCCCGTGTCCCCCTTGAGAAGTGTCACACAAACGTTCCCAGCAGCAGGGAGCAGAGTGGGGCCGACAGGACCCGGGCTGGCAGCGGGCACATCTGGGACCCTGCAGGCCCGGGGGGCCGTGAAATGGGGGGGCGCGACCTCTGGGGACGGGGAGCACGGGGCCGCGCTGCCCCCTGGTGGCCAGGGCTGCGGGCTGCGCCGCGGGGAAACTGAGGCACGACCCCGACCCCTGCACCCCCCCCTGCTCCCTGGGGCCGCCCCCAGCCCCCTGCCCTGCTCCCACCTGTCCTCCAAGGTGAGGGGAGCCGAGCGAGGGGGGCACTGGGGACAAGGGCCTCTTCTGAAGTGTCGGGGGGGGTCAAAGGGACATGGTGACTGCAGCCCTGCCACCCCTTTATCTGGCCCAGATGCATCAGGATCAGGTCGGAGAAGCCAAAAGCCTCAAACCAAACCCCAAAGCCCCACTGCTCCAGGAGCGGAGGCTTGGTGTGTCGCCCCCCGGCACAGGGACACGTGCCTGGCCACAGCCCGGCCAGTGCCCACCTCCCCAAGGACCAGTGGTGGCATAGAGCAGGGCTGGAGCAGGGGGGTCTCCTCCCTGATGGGGGGGGAAGGAGGTAGCAGGAACAGATCCTGCAAGGGGGAGACCCCCCCGGGACCAAGCGGGGCTGCCTGCCCACGGACAAAGGATGAAGCCCCACACTGCGGGGTCACCACTGGGGACCCGCACGCCGAATCCAGCCCCTCCTTGGCACCCGGGAAGGGCTCCCCACCCGTTCCCTTCCACTTGCCCAGTTTCGGCCGGGCCAGGCAGGCCAGGGTTACCCAGAGGGCAGAGGCGCAGCGGGTTGTGGGAGAAAGGCTTGGGTGACATCGGCGTGAGACGTCACGGGCTCACCCAGGGGCGGGGGGGGAGCCTGGGCTTGGGGTGGGGGCACCCAACCTGCTGGGGGCTGCATCTCCCCAGGTGCCCCCAGGGCAAGGGACCCACGGCACAGGGCAGGTACCCCAGGGATGCCCAGGGTGAGCGGGGTGGCGGTAGCTGTTTGTGCCAGGTGTTCACACCCACCCCCCTGTTTTCCTATTCCATCCCCCCCCCCCGCCCGAGGCAGATGCCTTCGGGCAAAGAGCAACCGGGTGTGGTGCCGACGTCAAGCCCTTACCCCTGCCCTGTGCCACCCTCAGCTGCGCAATTCCAGCCCGGGCACCCGAGGGAACAGCACCGGGATTGGGGTGAGCTCGGACCTCTGGGTGTCCCCCAGATCGGGGGGGGGGGGAACAGGGGGGGCTCCGGCCACTGGGTGAACCCTGCGAGGCTGGGATGGGGCAGGGGTCCTGCTGGTGACCATTGGTGGGAGGGGGGGGATGGATACAGGGTGGGTCCTGGGCCACCAATGTTTTTGGGAACCCACGGGGGTGACGCAGCAACCTGGGGACCTTGCTGGGTGGTGGGCTCAGGACCTCGCACACAGACCGAGCCCAGTCCTCGAGGCCAGATCCTGGACTCCAGCAGGGCGCTGCCCACCCTGTGTGGCCCTAAACCAGTTGGGTCCACACCGGGTGCCCCGTACGGGGCTGGTGCAGGGGCAAGCACACCGTCTGCATCCCCTCCAGCAGCCACACACGGCCTCCCTCTCTCCCCCCCCCCCCCCCGGCCGGCGCTGCCATCGCTGCCCAAGAAGATGGGAGACCCCTTTGGCCGCTGGAGCGGCCCCCCGTCCCGGTGAGTGCCCAGCAGGGTGGGTGCCCCCCCTGCCCCCCCTGCCCCCAGCGATGGGGGTGCCGTGCTGCGGGGCACGGTGGCCGTGGGACTGTTGGACTCACCGCCACCCGTCTGTCCGGCCAGGGGCGAAACCGAAGACATCTCCCACCTCCACCGCTCCAACAGCTTTGCCCGACCCAGTGGGAAAAGCATCTACAGTGAGTAGCAGAAGCCCCCCGAAACCCAGCCCCCCCCCCGCGTGCCCACCCCTGACCCTGTGTGTCCCCCCTAGACCAGCGCAAGGACTACAGCCAGAGCCTGCTCAAACCCCAAAGCAATTTCCAGCACCATGTGGAGGTAGGAGCTCCCCCCGACTACCTCCCTGGTGCCCCACGCTGTGGGGAGGTGATGGGCGCCCCATGGCACCCTGTGACCCCCCGTGACGTGTCCCCCCCCAGCACCTGCTCACCATGCGGCTGGACAGGGACATCCGCAACACCGATGACTGCCTGGCTCGCCTGAAGGCGCTGGAGGCCCAGGGCCGGGTCTGGGGGCAGGACCTCGTCCTGCAGGTCAAGAACCAGGAGCTGGTGCTGAGCGATGTGGAGAGCAAGGTGCTGTGCGGCCAGGGCATCCCAAAAAGCTGGCAGCCAGCCAGGAGCAGGCACCCACCCCGGCAGCCACCCATTCTGGACCCAGCTCCCCATAAATGCAGTGTTCCCCCAGCCACGGCACCCCTGTGTGCCTGGCACCCCCCTAAACCCCAGCACAAGCATCAGCCTTCCAATGCCCCCTGTCCCTGGCACCCACCCTGGCCACAAAACCTACCCTGGACTCTTCACCCCCATACATCTCTTATTGCCCCACCCGTGGCACCCCACATAACCCCGGTACCCCTGCCATCACAGCCCTATAAGCTTGGCACCCTCTTTGCCCTGGCGCCTCGCACAAACCTTGCACCCCTCTAAGCCTGGCACCCCGCTGGCCGTGGCACCCGCAGCCCTGCCTCGCGGCACCTTCCCCAGGAGCCCGATATCCCCCTCACCCCCTGCTCCTGCCTGGGCACCACATAACCCTGACACCCACCTTCTGTGCACCCCAATAATCCTGTAATCCCCCTGGCCCCTTGCACCATGATAACCCTGCCCCTTGTGCCCCTATAACCCCTTGTGCCCCTATAACCCCTTGTGCCCCTATAACCCCTTGCGCCCCCGTGTGCAGGAGGAGCTGGAGAGCTACCCGCTGGGCAGCGTGCGGGACTGCGCGGCCCTGCTGGATGCCTGCAGCTACGACTCGGTGCTGGCCGTCAGCGTGCAGGAGCAGAGCCCCCCCGGCACCAGCGTCCTGCTCTTCCAGTGCGACCGCATCGGGGTGAGACAGGGCACGGGGGTTGAGGGGGGGGAGGGGGGGGCTGCGCACCAGGGTGGGAGGCTGATGGTATTATTGGGGCTGTGCCAGGCCCAGACGCTGAAGAGCAGCCTGGAGAAGCTGGTGAAGCAGTGCAAGGAGGAGCAGAACCAGTATGGACACAGGTAAGGGGGCACGTGCCCCCACCCCCTCCATGGGGGCAACCAGGCTGGGCCCTCCCCAAGCCTGCCCCTAGCCCAAGCCGGGGGACCCCAGGTGGCGGGGTCTGGGGGGGGCTCTCCCTTCTGGTGGGGGACCCCCGCTGCGCCCCACCCCGCTCCAAAGGGTCCCTCCCCATGGGCACGGGCCCCTTCTGCCCCTGCCTTCCTCCCTCCCGGTGTAACCCCCCCGCACCCTCCTGGCGGGTGGCCCCCTGCTGCCCCAGCCCCTGGCTCTGCACCCACCTTCCCCTGCCCATGGGTACAGACCCCCGGCACCCCCATAGCCAGGGGCAAAGCCCCATACCACAGGCACCTCAGCAGCCCCCCCCCATCTCTCCTTGCCCAGGGCCCCTTCGGACCTGTCCGACACGATCCCCCCGTACATGTCAGCCCCCTACAGAGCCCCGGAGCGGTGGGCAGGCACCCCAGAGCCCACCTCACCTGCACTGCCCCAGCACAGATCATCCTCCTTGGACTACAGTGAGTCCCGGGGGGGCCATGTCGGGGTGTGGGGAGGGTGCTGGGCACGCCTGGGTCCCCTAAAGTGTCTCATCTTCCCCGGGAGCAGGGGGGGGCAGCTGGGACCACCCCCCAGCACCAGCCACCCAGCAGAACACCTGGGTCAACCCCTCAGGCCAGGCCATGTCTGAAACCGACCGAGACGTGGTAAGTGGCACCCTGTGCACCCCCATCCCCACATCCCCCCCCATTGCCCCCTCCCGGCTCACCAGGCCCTATGCTGTTCCCACAGATGGTCCTCAACCACGTGCTGGACGACATAGAGCTCTTCGTGAAGCAGGTGAAGGATGCCCTCAGCCTGACGAGCACCAAGAACCAGAAAAAGAAGAAGAAGAGCAAAGGTGGGAAGGGGGAGGGGCTGTGCCAGGGGGCGGTGGGGAGATGCTGGGGGGCTGTCCCAGTGCCAGCCCCCCTCTCTTCACCCCTCTAGCTCTGCCACCCGAGGCCAGCTACAAGGACTTTTTCCAGAAGGTGAAATATGCCCTGAACCTCCTGGTAGGTCCCACCCGGCAGGACACGACCCCACGGCTCTGGGGCATCTTCGCTGGGGCTACGGGGGGTGTGGGGCTGGGGGGGGGGCCACACGGGGCCACGCTCTGTGATTTCTCTCTGCGCAGGGAATCACCCACCAGCAGCTAGAGAACCCGGACCCTGCCCAGCTGCTGCACCTCATCTTCGATACCCTGTCCTTCGTGAGTGCCCCAGGAGCGGGACCCCCCACCCAGCCAGGGGCTGCCCTCGGCACCCTGCCTTTGGGGCAGCTCTCGGGGTGCTGAGGGAGCCCCCCCCCCGCCCATTACCCAGGTCCTGGACAACTGCCCCAACCACAGACTGGCGCCAGCGGTGGATGCACCGCTGCTGATCCCGGAGGCGGTGGAGCTGCTGGAGAAGACCCTGCACCCGCAGGAGTACAGCACCTGGAAGATGCTGGGCATCGCCTGGAACAAGACCAGGTGGGCTCTGGGCCTCCACCACCGAGGGGGGCTCCGAGCGGCACCCCCCGGCTGGGGACACCCCACTTTGGGGGCCGCACACCCACCACCACCTTCTTTGTGCTTTGGCAGGGCCGAGTACCCCAACAGCGAGCAGGTGCCCCCCTACATCCCCACCTTCTCTGACGGGTGGCTGCCCCCACCCATGATGAATCCAGAGCAGCAGCAGCAGGTACGGGGCATGGGGGGGGGCAGCAAGGACACCCCACTGTCTGCCTGTGTTTCCCCACCTTGCTCTGAGCACGCGTCCCTCTCTGCTCCCCGCACAGTCACCGGCCACCAGCTACAAGAACACCCCCAGCTATGGGAACATCCCCGGCCATAGGAACGAGGACATTCCCAGCTACGGGGACGTTCCCGGCTACGGGGGCACTCCTGGCTATGGGAGCATCCCTGGCTATGGGAGCACTCCTGGCTACGGGAGCACTCCCAACCGGGGGGACGTTCCCAGACGCGGGGACATTCCTGGCCAGGTGTAAGTGCTCCCGCTGCCCCACGGACGCTGTAGGGGCAGGACTGCAGGAACAGTGCTGGGCGGGACCCAGCCAGGGTTGGGGGCACCCCTGGGTGCTCACTGCTGCCCCCCCCTCCTTCAGGCCCTTTTCGCCCCCCCCCAGGCTGGCGCGGGCTCTGTACGAGTTTCAGGGCAGGAACCCCCAGGAGCTGAGCGTCAGGATGGGGGACACGCTGGAGGTACAAACTGGGGACCCCCAGCGGGTATTCTCTGGGGAATCAGAGCGGGACCCCCCCCGTGTGTGGGGGGTCGGGGGAGCTGCCACATTGTCACCGCCTGCCCTAGGTGCTGGACCAGCAGAAGAAGTGGTGGCTGGTGCAGAACAGCATGGGGCACAAGGGCTACGTCCCCAGCAACATCCTGGAGCCGCTGGGGCACGAGGACGGCTGGAGCCAGGTGGGTCCCCCCCGGATCCCCCCCGTGCCTCCTCCACACCGACAGCACCCGGAGGGGGGGTGCAGGGATCACCCCACCACCCTCTTTCCCTTTGTCCCCCCTCCCAGGTCAGCCCCCCCAACCTGCACATGGGCTCCTCGCCGGCGGAGGTGACGGCCTGGCTGAAGGACAAGGGCTTCTCGCGGATGTGCGCTGCCCCCCGAGTCCCCAGAGCGTGGCCCCCCCTTGGAGGGGTCACCCCCCCTGGCTGAGCCAGGCCCCCCCGACCCCTCACAGTCTGTCTGTCTGTCCCCAGCACGGTGAGGTGCCTCGGGGTGCTGTCGGGCCACCAGCTGCTGCAGATGACGCCGGAGGAGCTGCGCGCCGTCTGCCCCGAGGAGTGGCGACGCGTCCTCTTCAAGCTCTCCTCCGTCAAGACGTCCCTGGGGGTGCGTCCCCCGAGCCCCCGCACTGTGACACCCCCCCCAGTGGGTGCTTTCAGGGAGCAGGGTGACGAGCCCCGGGCTCCCCGCTCCATACTTGTTCTCCCCTCCCTACAGATGAGCCCCAGGGACTGAGCCCCAGGGACCACGCCGACGCCGTCCCCAACATCCTCCTGCTGCCACCCCAGGACGGAGCGACCCGGGGGGGGCAGCCCTGCAGGACTGGGGGGGCCTGGCAGCAGGAGGTTCCCCAGCCCCTTAGGGCACCCATTCCTCCCAAAAGCACCGGCGGTGGGAAGCTGCTGGGGGGGCACCAGGGATCCCCCGGGGAGAACTGCTCTGCAGAAGCCGGGGGGAAGCCGGGTACCCCCCCGGGGGGGCCACGCACCGCGAAAGGCTCGCACGAGCCCTGCAAGGCTGAGCTGCTGCTGTGGAAAATAAAGAGAATGACAGCACCGGGCTCTGCGTGGAAATGGGGGGCCCCACACCCCTGCCCCACACCACCCCCCCTGCTCCACCCCAGCCCAGCAGGGAGGGGGGCTGGGGGTGACACCTCTCACAGGGGTCCCAAGGGGCACGGCTGTCCCCATGGGGGCACAAAGCCCCCCCCAGCACCACCTTGTTAGTGGGCAGATAAGTGCTAATGAGCACCCCCCCCAGTGAGAGGGGACTCAGGGCTCCTTTCCCACGGGGACATCGGAGGGGACAACCCACAGAGGAGCCCAACCCCTAGCAAGGGGGTGCCGGGGGCACAGCAGGGTGACAGCCCCCTCCCACCTCGCTCTGCCCCTGGCCTCAAGCCCCCCAAGATGGGGAGGGCCAAGTCCAGTGCCTCCCCCCACACACACACTCAGGAGGGACTCAGGGTGCTGGAGCTCCACAATTTATTGTGTTTGGGGTCCTCACACCCACAGAGCCCCCCAGCCCCAGTATGGGGGGAGCAAGCCCCCCCCACCCCTACTCCTTCTTGTTGCCCCACTTGGCCATCTTGTTGTTGATGGGCATCTTCTGGAAGCGGCTGGACTTCATGTAGGCAGCGACCTTCTCCAGGGCCTGTGGGAGCAAGGGGAGTGCTAGGGACCCATCGCCCCCCCGAGCCATGACCTCAGGGGTCCCCACCCACGGCCCCCTCCTACTCACCCCGAAGCGGTCCATGAAGTCCTTGAGGTTCTTGTAGGGCTCCAGGCACTTGGGCTCAAAGATGCTGTTCTGCTCCAGCACGTCAAACATGAGGAAGTCCACGAAGGTGAGCTGCAGGGGGGGGGGACACACGGTGAGGGGCAGCGTGGGGATGAGGATGACCCCCCCACCCCATTCCCCAGCCGTACCTTGTCCCCTGCAAACCACTTGCGGTCCCCCAGGAAGTTGGAGAAGAGCTTCAGCTTCCCTGGCAGCTGCTCCAGGTACCCCGGCTTCAGCTTCTCCTGCGAGGGCAAGGAGGCAGCTGTGGCTCCCGCTGCCCAGTGGGGTCCCCGAAATGACCCCCCCCCACCATGCAGCCCCCGGGGGGTACTCACGAAGTCGGGGTTGTAGCAGACCATGACCAGGCTCATGCGGAAATCCATCACCTGGTTCTCCAGCATGTCCACGCGCAGCTTCTCCTCCTCCGTCTCCCCGCCTGAGGGATGGGGCAGGCGTCAGCCCCCCCCCGACACCCCCCCCCGCCCCGCAGCCCCCCCAGCACTCACACATGTTGTGCTTGCGGGCGATGTAGCGCAGGATGGCGTTGCTCTGGGTCAGCTTGGTGCTGCCGTCAATGAAGTAGGGGAGCTGGAAGGGACATCGGGGTATGGGGACACTGGGGGGGGGGGGCAAGGGAGGGGACACAGAGCTGAGTGCCCCCCCATGGCTCCCCCCAGCCCCTGGCCACCTACATTGGGGAAGTCCAGCCCCAGCTTCTCCTTCTCGTTGATCCATTGGCTCTTGTCGTAGTCGGGAGCTGCGGGGGGAGCAGGGGGGTGAGGCCGTGCTGTGCCCCCCCGGTGGGGCAGGGAGCTGGGTGCCCCCCCCCAGGACACAGCCCCTCTGTTTGGGTCTTGGGAGAGGGCAGAGGCGCTGGGGGGACCCCCCCCCCGACACCCCCCAGCCCCATTAATTACACATCGCCCCCCCCGGCGGCGGAATCGGGGCGTGGGGCCCAGCCGCGTGCCCCAGGGGAGCAGTGGGGGGGCTGAGGGGGTCCGGGGGGGTCCTGGGGGGGGGTGAGATGTGCCGCCCCCCCCTCACCTTCCCCGCAGCTGTACAGCTTGTCCTCGTACGGCGTCTCGGTGTGCTCCAGCAGCAGGCGGATGGCGTGAGCCAGCTGGGGGGGGGGGGGGGGGGGGGGGAAGGCGGAAATGAGCCCCCCCACGGTGAGAACCGAGGCACGGAGCAGAGCGCAGAGAGCAGAGCCCTTAACGCCCCCCCCCCCACAACCACACCGGGGAGACCCCCCCCGCCCTCCCGTACTGGGACCCCCAAACCCTCAGGGACCCCCTCAGGGACCCCTGGGCACAGCACGAGGCACTGAAGGGGGGGGGGGGGGGGGCTTCACACACACCCCCCCCAGCAGCATCAGGGTCCCCCCCGGCCTTGAGGAGCCCCCCCCGGCCCTGAGGAGCCCCCCCCGCCCCCCCGGCCCCCCACGCACGCCGCGGATGTCCCAGTATCCCAGCACCGCCATGGCCGCGATCGCTGCGCCCCCCCCGAGCCCCCCCCCCTTCCCCTTGCCCTTCGCCTTCCCGGGGCGGGGTTTGGCGGGGGGGGGGGGCCCTTAAAGGGGAAGGCGGCTGCATGCGGGGGGGGGCCGCGGGGCGCAGCCTCAACCCTGGGCCCTACGGTGTGCGTGCGGCCCCCCCCCCCCCCTCCACCCACCCCCACCCCCACCCACCGGGGGGGCTCTGCACTGCCCCAGATTGCACGGGGGGGTCTATTTTCTCCTCCCCCCCCCCCGGTGCAAAGTAGCAGCCCCTGTCCTGGGGGCCCCTTCCACCCCCGCACGGTGCATGGGGGTCTCATTACCCCGGGGGGGGGCGTGGGGGCCCTCCCGCCTCCCTTTATCCGGGGGGGGGGCATGGAGGGATAACCCCCCACCCCCCCCGGGATGCGTGAGGGCGCCGTCACCCCCAGGAGCTGTCCCCAGGGTCCCCACCCCTCCCGGCACCCTGCGGCAGCTCCATGCACACAGAGGGCAGGGTGCGGACCCCCAGCTTTATTCTGCAGGGGAGGGGGCTGGGGGGGGGCACATGTGGGGGGCACACATCTCGGTCACTCCTTCTTGTTGCACCACTTCGCAGTAGGCCAGAAGATGGGGGTCTTCATGAAGCGCCCCGACTGCATGTATGCCCGGATCTTCTCCAGAGCCTGTGGGGCGGAGAGGGCATGGGGACTGGGGACAGGGGACAGGGACGGGGACAGGGACAGGGACAGGGACGGGGATGGGACGGGATGGGGATGGGGACAGAGCTGGGACAGGATTGGGGACAGGGACAGGGATAGGGATGGGACAGGGATAGGGATGGGGATGGGGATGGGATGGGGATGGGGACAGGGATAGGGATCAGACAGGGATGAGGATGGGAACAGGGATGGGGATGGGATGGGGACAGGGGTAGGGATAGGGATGGGGATGGGACAAGGATGGGGACAGGGACACTGGGGTGTCCCCGCTCACCTCGAAGCGCTGCAGGAACTGGCTCAGGTTGCCCTGCAGCTCAGGGCAATCGGGGACAAACATACGCTGCTGGTCTAGCACGTCGTACGCCACAAAGTCGACGAAGGTGAGCTGCGGCGGGGGGAACAGTAGGGTCAGAGTGCCACCCCCCACCCCCAGCCCCCCCAGCCCCCCCAGCCCCCAGCACCCACCTTCTCCCCAGCAAACCAGGCCCGGGAGCCCAGGAACCGCGACAGCTCCCGCAGCTTCCCTGGCAGCTGCTCCAGGTACGCTGGCTTCAGCTTCTCCTGTGCACGGGGGGGGGCAGAGCTGGTGCAGGGCCCCCCCAGCCCCCCCAGCACCTGGGGTCCCAGCCCCATGGCCAGGACCAGGCAGGAAGGGGCCCATTCCCAGCGCACCTTTGCAGTGGCAATTAGAGGTTGTGTTGTGTTTTGTGATGACCCCATGTCTCCAGCTGCCCAGGGACCCCAGGGGGGGTCCTGTCCCCCTTTCCCCCCCCCCCCATGGCACTCACAAAGTCAGGGTTGTAGCAGAGCCGGATGAAGCTCATGCGCAGATCCATCAGTTGGTTCTCCAGCATGTCCACGCGCAGCTTCTCCTCCTCCGTCTCCCCGCCTGAGGGATGGGGCAGGCGTCAGGCCCCCCCACACCCCCAGCAAAGCCCCCCCCCCCCCGCCCCGCAGCCCCCCCAGCACTCACACATGTTGTGCTTGCGGGCGATGTAGCGCAGGATGGCGTTGCTCTGGGTCAGCTTGGTGCTGCCATCGATGAGATAGGGCAGCTGGGGGAGGCAGCGGGGGGGGGGCGGAGGGGGGGGTCAGTCCTGGAAGGCCCCAGCCCCACCGTGCGCCCCCACCCCGTGCCCAGCCCCCACCTACGTTGGGGAAATCGAGGCCCAGCTTCTCCTTCTCGTTGGTCCAGTCACTCGGGTCAAAGTCTGGGGCTGGGGGGGGAAAGGAAGATAAGGGGAGCAACGAGGGGGGGGAGCAGGGAGGGAGGGGGGGCACAGGGAGATGGGTCCCCCCGGCTCCCCCCACTGCACCAAGGAGGCAGGGGACTCGCAGAGGGGGCTCCCCGGGGGCAGCCACCCCCCCCCCCCCCGGCTCCCTGCCCTCCAATCCCCCGCCTGCAGGCACTGAGCCAGGGCCGAGCTCCAGGGCCGGGGGGGGGGGGGGCAGCCGGGGGTCCCCTCCTCGGGCCGTGCTGCCCCCCCCCTACCTGGCCCGAGTCTGTACTGCCGCTCCTCGTAGGGGGTCCCGCTGTACTCCAGCAGCAGGCGGATGGCGTGGGCCAGCTGGGGGCAGAGCAGGGGGCCGGTCACCCCGCTCAGTGCCCCCCCGGATTAGGACCCCCCCCCGGATTAGGACCCCCCCCTCCGGACCCTCCCCTGTCCCCGCTCACCCCGCGGACGTCCCAGTAGCCCAGCGTGACAACCATGGCGACTGCGGGGACAGCGCTGGGGACAGCGCCGGGGGCAGCCGGGACGGGACGGGACGGGGCGGGGCGGGGCGGGGGCGGCACCGAGAGGCCGAGCCCCCCCCCACCCCCCCACCCCCTCCCCCTGCCCCTCCCCGCCTCACCCCCGGAGCGCGAGCGGCCCCCGCCCCCCCCCGTGCCTCAGTTTCCCCCGAGCTGGGGGCTGCGCTGTGCCCCCCCCCGCTGCACCCCAAGCTCACAGCACCCCGGCTCTTACTTAAATACTTTTATTTCTCATGCTTTTTTTTTTTTTCAGTTGTTTTTCTTTTTTTTCTGGTGGCCGTGTGGTCACCAGCACTTGACCTCGGAGCCCACAGCAGGGGCACAGGAAAGGGGGAACACACTCGGGACGGGGCGATGCCCCCGCGGGACGAAGCGACCCCATAGGGCCCGGAGCCCCCCCCAGCAGCACAGGGGATGGGGGCAGGCAGCGCCCCAGCCCCACGCCTCCCTCGAGGCAGCCCCTGGGCCACCAGGTCCCCAGCAGGACAAGGGCACAGCGTGGGCGAGGGGCTGGGGTGGGGGCTGCACCCAGCCTGCCCCCACAGCCCCTCGTCGCAGGGCGAGAAAGAGGACGGAGATTGGGGCAGGCCCTTCACGGGCAGCAGGACCCCCCCTGCCTGGACACGGTGGGGGTCCCGCACGGCATCCCCGCACCCGGCACCAGCAGCCCCCAGCCTGGCACCGGGAGGCGAAGCCACAGCCCCCAGCAGGGCCCGTGCCCACACCAGCCCCCAAAGGCTGGCCCCAGCAGGGCCCAACCCGGCTGAGAGAAAGCAGTGGAAAATAACCAAGAAGGCACAAAAAAAAAAAAAAATAACACTACCAAGAGAAGGGAACAAAGCCCCCAGGGCAGAGGCACTGGCACAGCCCTGGGGAGGAGCAGCTCAGGGCACTGGGCAGCAGGGGGGGGCAGCAGCGGCAGAGCCTGGCAGGGACACGGGGCCGGGAGCAGGGGGGGGTCAGCGGGGGGGCAGGGTGGAGGTGATGGTGAGCGCGTCCTCCTCCTGGATGGTCTCCAGCTCCTCGCTCTGCACCGCCTGCGTGATGAGCGTCAGCTCCTGGCACAGCGTCTCGAAGCGGTAGCTGACGCGGATGTCGGGGACGTTGGTGCGCCGAATGTCATTGCCCTCGGGGCCCTCCTTCAGGTAGTGGGGGCCCAGCCAGTAGCTCTTCACCTGGGGGCAGAGCGAGGGGAGGCTCCTGCAGCCGCCCGCCCCCTCCCCACAGAGGGAGGGGTCCCGGGGGGGGGGGCCAGGGGCCAGGTACCTTGTGGGAGAAGCCGCTCATGAGGACGCTGTTGCGGGCCAGCTCGCACATGTCGCAGGAGCTCAGCTTCCAGACCTGCGTGGCGATGCTGTACTCCTCCATCAGCGGCTCCTGGGGGGCACAGCCTCAGCACCCACCCACCCAAAAAGGATGGGGGGGGGCCAGCTTTTCCCCCCGCTGCCCTGGGCCTCCAGCAGCCTCCGCAGCCCACTGCCCTTTTCTTCCTCCAGGCCCCCATCCTGCAGCCATGGTGGCTGCCCCATGGGGGTTCTGGAGGGGTCGGGGGCCCGTGGTGCCCTACCAAAGCTCACCTTGGTGAAGTGGAACTGGAGGGGGTCGTCGGTGGAGAGGGAGACCATGAGCCCCCGCGAGAGGTACTCGGGCAGGGGGTTGCGGTGGTAGCTGAGGAAGAGGCTGTTGTTGCTGAGCGGGGACATGGCGATGCCGATCTGCGCCAGGTAGTACAGGTACTGCAGCACGGGGGCCTGGGGGGCACAGCGGGGTGAGGGGGGGCCCGGCCGTGCACCCCAGCGTCCCCCCAGCGTCCCCCCCTGCCCTGCTCACCTTGCGGAGCAGCAAGCCGTGTGAGATGTTCTCCGACACCATGAAGCCCGAGACGAGGTGGTGGATGGGGCCGGCCTCGCCGCAGTGCGGGCGCAGCACGAAGGTGTGGAACCCGCGTTTCCTGCCACGGGGGGGGGACAACCATCAGCACCCACCCCCTGCCAAGACCCCCCCCCCGAGCACCCCCAGGCGCGGAGCCTTACCGTCGGAGGTGGTTGAGCACCGTCATGTTGGCGTACATGTAGTACAGGTAGTAGGAGTAGGGCGGGTTGTCCTCCTCCACCCAGTTCCCGGGCAGGGGGCTGTCCAGGTTGAAGATGTGGTGCTCGGGCTTGGACTCGTCATCCACGCTGTCGAAGCCGTCCACCTGCAGGTGACACACCGCCGCGGTCACCCCCCCACCAAGGACGCCCAGCCCCAAAGCTGTGAGGAAGGGAGGGAGCGGGTCCAGGCTGGGGGTGCCGGTGCCACTGGTGGCCCCCAGCCCCCCTGCAGGAGGCGGCGCTCACGTGCTCCAGGAAGAGGTGCAGCTCGGGGTGCTGGGCAGGGTGGATGGTGGCCTCGTAGAGGGGCAGGAAGATGTTCTCCAGCATCTCCTGGAAGTTGGCCAACTGCTTCTTCGTCCGGTAGACATCGCTGCTCGGGGACGGACGACTGTCAGAGCACGGTGCCCCATCCCAGCCCAGCCAGCCATCGGCTGGGGGTCCCCAGTCCCCACCCCCCCCCCAGGACATGGCCCAGGTGGGGGCAGCTGCCCCCCGGCACTCACAAGAGCCGGGGCACCTGCACAAGCCAGCGGACGTTGTTGGAGTGGACGCGGTGGTTGACGGCCCAGCAGGCCAGCTTGTCCCACTCATCCCGGGAGCGGCCGTAGATGGAGAGCCGCAGCTCGGCGTTCTGGTACTTGCTCTCCTCCAGGTCGGACATCACCTCCTGCCAGGGCGGGGGAAGCGTCACCCTTCCGCCAGCAGGAACAGGGACATGGGTGGCATTGCCACTGCGAGCGCTGGAGGGAGGGAGGCACGGGACCTCACCTTGATGATGTGGGCAAAGTACTTCCCCGAGACGCGGTTGTCCGTCTTGATGAAGATCTCCCGCAGGATGGACTCGCCGATGGGGTTGTACTTGGCGTTGAACTTGTCGAAGCGGTGGAAAGTGTTGCGGTCCTGAAATGGGGGCACAGACGTGAGCTGAGGCTCCCCAGCACCCTGGAGCCACCAAAACATCCCCATCCAGAGCTTTGGGCACCCCCACCCCACCATGGGATACCCCTGGAGATCTCCCACCCTGGCCAGAGACGAGCTGGAGGACCTGCTCATCTCCAAGATTTGGGGATGTTTCCCCGTACCGCGTGCACATCCAGAGTGTCCACGCTGAGGTCATAGGCAGTGAGGTTCATGGTCTCAAACACCTCCTTGAGCGTCTGCTCCTTGCCCTTCTCCACGTGGACGATTTCATCCAGGTGCTTCTTCATGGCCCGCTTGATGAAGCGCAGGAGATGCTTCTGGTTCATGCAGGACGAGGCGTGGATGTGAGTGTCCACCTGCAAGCCAGAGGCGATGTCAGCCCTGAGAGCCGCTGGGTGCTCCCTGCCCGAGCCAGGACCCCCCCACACGCCAGCAGTACCTTGCGGATGTTGTAGAAGTCACGGTGAGGCACCTTCTTCTGGGCCGCCAGCTCCTTCATCTCGTTGAGCAGGACGTGCATCTGGAACTTGGAGCTCAGGTACTGCAGCCGGCGGTAGCAGAAGGATTTGCTGCCCGAGGCAAGGAGCGGGCATCAGTTTTGGGGAGAGAAGGGAGAAAATCTATCCCCAAAAGGCTGGTGCCCACCAGGAGGAGGGGACATGGCTCTGGACTCTGGGGCCCCCCACCCCTTGCATGGTGACCATGAGCCAGGACAAATGTGGGGGCTGCACCAGGACCAGGTGTCACAGACACAGCCACGTCCCCCGGTGCTGTCCCCAAGGTGCCCACCCCCCATGGCAGGGCCCTTCTCCTCACATGGGCCCGTTGATGATCAAAGCCATGAGGAAATTCATGTCGGCGATGAACTCCTGCAGGTCCGGGTACGGCAGGTCCAGCTCCGTGCTCCTGCCAGGCACACAGACGGGGCGGTGGGGTCGGGTCCCCCCGTCCCCAGCCACCCACCGCAGCCCCTCGCCCAATCCGTCCCAGCGGCGAGCCTCCCCATCTCACTTGTCGGTGGGGTCCTGCTTGGTGTAGACGTGCACCACGCCATCCACCATCTTCAGCCCGAAGCCCAGGTCGGCCGGCATGGTCTGGGGGTCGCACTTCTCGTAGGGGTGCTGCTCTGCGAACGGGGGGTGCACGGGGGCATCTGCGGCCAGGAGAGACCCCACGGTCACGCACTGGACGGCTCCCCACCAGCAACCCCATCCCCAGCGCAGGGATGTCCCGTGCTCACCAGCGGCCACGGGGGTCTCGGGCACCTCCTCGTAGCCGCGGGTCTCCAGGGGCTTCTCGGAGAGCTCCTGCAGGTAGCGGGCGGTGGTCTTGCAGAAGCTCTGCAGCGACAGCCCCATGTACTTCTCCCGCAGGAACAGCGCCTTCACCACGCTCTTGGCTGCATCCAGCAGGTCCGTGAAGGGCACCTGGGAAGGGACACAAAAACAAAGTGGGGGGGATTTCACCCCAAAACCTCCCATGGGTGCGGAAGGGTGCCCCTCGTGGGGGGCAGAGGCTCACCCCGCACTTCTCCTCCCCGGAGATGGTGACGCGCTGGAACTCCCGCTCCAGCAGCGCGTCACGGTCCTTGGGGACATGGTCCACCAGGTCCTCGCTCTGCTCCTTGAAGAGCCTGCGGGCACGGCCAGTGGCCAGTGAGATGGGGACACGGCCTCGCGCCCCCCCACCGGGGGCTGCACCCGGTCCCCAGAGGCAGGAAGGTGGCGGCGTCCCCAGGAGTGTCACTGCTGGGTGCCACATCCCGGTTGGAGGCAGTTGTCCCCCCCCCTCCACCCCCCTATGCCCAGACGCATCCCCCAGCCCCACAGGAGCACAACGAAAAGTTGGGGGGGGACAGAGAACGAAACAACTCGTGACAGAGACAACTCCCAAGCGGAGACAGGAGGGAGGGGACACGCAGCGCCGGGGGGGTGACAGGGCCAGGCTGGGGACAGATCTGTCCCATGCCAGCAGCAGGGACCCCAGCTCACCCCAAATCCCCCATCCCTAAACCACCCCCGGGCGCATTAACCCCTTCACTACCAGCCTCGGCAGCAGGGCTGGGGGCACCTCTCGGCTCTGTGCTTGGGGGAGCGGTGGGGGGGCCAGAGTGGGGCTGGGGGGACCCCAAGCCCCTGGTGTCACCGAGCCAAACACTCACTGTAAGTCCGCGGCACTGTCAACTTTCAGGAAGTCCTGTTTGGCTCTGAGCAAAATGTCGGGCTCGAGTCTGGGGACAGCGGAGGGGACAGCCGGGAGGGGACAGCCAGGAGGAGAAAGGGGCCAAGGCGTTGTGGGGGGGGGAGAGAAAACATCCCATTAATGCCCAACCCAACACAACCACACAGAAACCAGAAAAAAAAAAAAAGAAAAAAAAAGAGAAAAAGAAGACAGCAAGCGCAACACCCACGGGAGAGGAGAGGACACAGAGCTGGCACAGAGGACTGACAGCCCCCAGAGCAGGGCCGGGGTGCCCGCAGTACCCGGGGCGGTGGCTGTCCCCGTGTGGGGACCTGTCCCAGGGGGACCCGGCTTACTTCACGTCCTGGCTGATCTGGCGCTCCAGGCGCTGCCGCCGCTCCTCCAGCTGCTCGATGGGGCTCTCCTCGGGGAACTCGTATGGCGCCGTCCGCATCTCGCTCTCCGCCAGCGAGCGGCAGAACAGCTCCTGCGGGCCCACCGCTGCCATGAGCTGTGCCGGGTCTCAGCCCACACCCAGCCCTGCCACCAGCTGGACCTGCTCTCAGCCCGTGCTCACCGCTGCTATGAGCTGTGTCCAGTCTCAGCCCACAGCAGCGAGGAGGCCACGCTGTCGGGCTGGGGAGACACAACCTTGGGGGTGGAAGGGGAACAGCCACGGGGCTCCCCCCCAGCCCCAACCCACTGCAGAGCCCTGAATGGGGGACACAGGTTTGGGATCAATCAGGGGCGTGGGGTCACTTCCCTGCCACCACGGCCCCTGCGCGGGCAGGGGGGTGGACGCCAGGCTGTTGCTGTGCCCCAGGGAAAAAGGAGGTAGGTGAAGCCCCCCCAGTGTGAGACCTGGTGGCAAACCCGGGGTGCGGGGAGGACCCACCTCAGCGATCTCCTTATATTTGCCATCCATGGAGGTGCGCAGGTCGACAGGGAAGTGCTTCAGGCAGTGGGGTGTCCCGGGCAGGGAGCGCGCCGACTGCAGGGGCCGGGACCCTGGCCCCCCCCGCAACTCTGCAGGCACAGGCACAGCGTGAGCATGGAGCGGGGGGCTGCCTGCGCCCCCCCTCCCAGGCAGGAAGGGGTTAACCAGGCCCCCCCGCAGCCCTCTGGAACTGGGACCCTGGTCCCAGCGTGGTGGGGGAGAAACTGAGGCAGCGCAAGGGCAGGAGCTCCCTCGCCACCCATCGGGGGACGTAACGAGTGCCCGTGTCACCCCACGGCACCGCGGGCTGCTCCGGTGCCACCCAGCGAGCCCTGTGCTGCCGGGACATGCCCAGCGCCCTGTGCCACCTGCAACGCCTCTGTCACCTGGTGCCACCGGGATGTGCCCAGCACCTGGTGCCACCCCAGTCTGAGAACAGCCCCCTCTGAGCCCCCCCTGAGCATCCCCACCGGCGAGGTGCCGACCATCACCTGCCCTGTGCCACCATCACCCCGTGCCACCACCACCCAGCGCCTCGAGACCCCCAGGGGCTGACACGCGAAGCCCCCCCCAAGCCCCAGCACCCCCAGGGGCCGCTGCCCCCCCCCGCTGCCGGGTGTGCCGGGGGGTGCCCTGGGCCCCCATCCAAGCCAGCCCCAGCCTTCCTCTGCCTCCTCCTCCTCCTCCTCCTCCTCCTCCCCGCCAGCGCGCACAGCCGCTGCGCCACGGCACCGCCGCAGAGCCCCCCCCCGGCCCCCGCTGCCATCGGGGGGGGGGGCACCCGGCACTGCCCGCGACCACCGGCACCCCCCGGCCCCCACCCCCGGCAGAGAGGAGCCCCCGCCGAGCAGCCCCGACGCCACGGTGATGGGCGCACAGCCCCCAACACCCCCCGCCCCCCCCCCCCCCAAAAAAAAAAAAAAAATCCCCCAAAGCACCCCCCCGGGGGCCACCACCCGAGCTCCCCCCCACCCACCGCAGCAGTGCCCGCCCCCCCCCAGCTGCCTGGGCCGCCCTAGGGGCTGCGGGGAGGGGGGGGGGGAGATCTGGGGAGGGGGCACCCCTAGCCGGGGGGGGGCTCACCTGCGGGGCCGGGGGCCTGCAGGCTGCCCCGCTTCTTGAAGGGGAACTTGGCCGGGGCGGCCGAGGACATGGTGGTGGCTCCGGGGGGGCGGCGGGGTAACGGGGAGGGGGGGGTGAGGGGGGGCGGGAGGGGGCGGCCCCCGGGGCCCCGCGGGACTCTTACGGCGGCGGGGCCGAGCGCTGGCCGCCGGCTCCCTCCCCGGGTTGATGATTGATGCGGGAACCGGGGCTGGACCAAAGTCCCCGGCGGAGGCAGCCGGAAGCCGGCCCGAGGAAGAGGATGGGGCGGAGGGAGGATGTGGGCGCGGGGCGGGGGGAGGAGGAGGAGGAGGAGGAGGAGGAGGGGGGGGGAGGAGGCGGCCCGGGGTTGTCGCAGCAACCGGCCCCGCTGCAGCCCCCGGGGGCGGTGCTGCCCCCTCCAGCCCCCGCCGCAGGCATCGCCCCCCCCCTGGGACGTGGAGTTGCCCCCCCCATGGCATCAGCACCTCCAGCAGCCCCCCCTCTGCCGGGGACACGGCTCTGACCCCCCCCCCCCCAGCACCGCACCCCCCCCCCGTCCCCCGGCCCATCAGCGCCCCGCAGCGAGACCCCCCCCCAAGACGAGCATCACCGCCCCCGGACCGGGTGCCCCCTCCCCAGAGCCAGGCCTCGAAGCCCCCCAAAGAGGGGTACCCTCATCCCTGCCCCCCCGCACACACAGCCCCCCAGGAGGGGGCCTCCCCCCCAGCATCACCCCCAGACCCTGCCCGGGAAGGGGGGGTCTGTCCTGACCCACCCACCCCCGGCCACCCCCCCTCTGTCCCCCAGCCAACCCCCCTCAAACAGGGCAGGGCTGGGGAAGGGCTCGTGCTCCGGGGGTGTCGCCCCCTGTCCCCCCCCCCCCGTCCCGTACCTGCGCCGCTGCTCCCGGTGCGGTGCCGGTGGGTGCCAAGTGCCCCCAATCCGGCACCGGAGCCGGGGGGATTTTGAGCTGCCGCCGCCCCCCCGTGCCCCCCAGCCCCAGTGACGGGGACAGCGAGGGGACAGCGCCCTTCAGGGCCACCCGGGGGGACACGGGCTGTCGGGGAGGGGGCGGTGGGGCCCCCCCAGCCTGAGCTCTGGGCTAAAGCCGTGCCCCCCCCCCAGCACCACCACCACCCCCCACGCCTCTGGGTCGGGAGGTTGGTATTTTAATTGGACCCCCTTCGTAAGCGCCAAGTTCATTAGAGGCTCAGAAGGGGCTTTGTGTCCGTGGGGACAGCGGGGACAGGCTGTCCCCATGCCACCGCCGCTGCTGGGCATGGCGGGAGCAAGTTTGTGGGGGGGGGAAACGCGGGGATGCCACCCCCGGTGACACCACAGGGCGCGGGGGGGTCACAAACAAACCCCTGGGGCCTGCAGCACCACCACGGGGACCCAGCGGCTGTCCCCTGTCCCCAGCACTGCCACCTCCCCGGAGCCAGCCCCAGCAGCGCGGGGAGGGGGCACCCCCCCGGGGGCCCTGTGGTCCTGCTGGGCTGGGGAGGAGGAGGAGGAGGCAGGGGGGAGGAAGGCTGAGCACCGTCCTGTTAAAGAGCTTAAGGCAGCAGGAGGGAGAGGGGCCCAGCGAGCGGCACTCAGCAGTGCAGGGTTACGGGTGCTCGTTACTGCCCGCAGTAATTAGCTCCATTTCCCCAACAGGAGGAAACCCCCAGCCCCGCCATCCCCCTGGCACCACCCCGGCAGCACCCGGGGTCCCTGGGTGTGACGTGAACTGAGCTGAGCCCATCCCCAGCACAAAGCCCAGCCCTGCAGCCCCACGGGGGGGCACCCAAAAGTGGGGTGCCCCAAACCCACAGAGCCCCCCAGACACCCCACAGGACCTGGGGTGTCCCCGTCCCCGGCGGGTGGGGGGTGACATGCCACCTGCCCCCTTACGTAAGGCACCGTGCCCACCTCCCTGGCCGCCTCCCCGAGATGCTCTTTCTTTTCCGAGCCCTAATCTTTGCCATCTTGGGCTAATTGGATTTCCTGGGTCACATGGAGAGATAAAAAGTCCCCAAATCCGTCAGCCCAGAAATTGGGTTATCCATGGGGAATTAAGAGAGAGCTCGGGGGGCAGCCAGCCCGCGAGCACCCAGGCGAGCGCTCCAGCACCCCTGGCACGGCGCGGGGCAGCGGGCGCCTGGTTCGGCCTTTCGGGGCTTCCCTTTCTCCCCCCTCGCCCTCCGCCCGCCCCTGGGGTGCGTGCGCACCCCCTGAGAAGAGCTGGAAGAGCCCGGGGACCTAGAGGAGCTCGAGGCGTTGGAAGAGGAAGACGACGCCATGGGGAGCGGGGCGAGCGCAGAGGATAAGGAGATGGCCAAGAGGTCCAAGGAGCTGGAGAAGAAGCTCCAGGAGGACGCAGATAAGGAGGCGAAGACGGTCAAGCTGCTGCTGCTTGGTAGGGTGGAGGGGACATCCCCACAGGGGGTGGCTGGGCACAGGGAGGACACAGGAACTGTCCCATGTCCCTACCTGGCACAGGGACCCCATCGGTCCCCATCGGGAGCTGCATCCTCTGGGGATGGGCACAGAGCAAAAGCAACTGGGGCAAGGGGACAGAGAGGGGCTGGGGCTGTGGTGCCAGGGGTGCCGCGTGCCCCAGAGGTGTCGGTGCAGGGACACGCAGCCCCTGGCCCCATCCTCTCCTCTTGCTGCCCCTTTTTGTCCCCAGGAGACCCCCTTCCCCTCAGCACTGGGTGGGTTCTCGTTAGTCTGACGAGCTGTTCTTAGCGAGCAGAGGGTTGTCCCCCCACTGGGTGTCCCCCAGGGTTGTGCCTAAGAAGAGCCGGGGGTGGCATCTGCTCTTGGTGGCATGTAGAGGGGTGGCGGGGACCAAGGGGACACCATGGGGTTGGGGAATGGAGTGGCTGAGGCCAGGACACCTTGGTGACACCTGTGGGGATGGGCGTGGGGGGGTCAGTGGGACCCTCAGCATCCCCAAACCTTGCCCCACTGCTGGGCACAGGAGGGGACTGTCCCTTGGAGGACCCTGTTCCCCGCTCAGCCATCGGGGTAACCCCGCGGGGCGCGGGGGACAGGAGCAGCAGCGGGGGCTTAGCCAGGTGAGGGGGGGCCAGGGTCAAGGCGATTAGCACCCTAATTCTAAGCAGCTTCCTGTGCTGCCCTAAGCCGCTTAAAGCACCAAGGCAATCGCCGAGGCAGCGCAGGGATGGTGGCAGCCTCTGCAGGCCTGAAGCCACGGTGATGGGCAGGGCAGGGGGACAGAGCAGTGCCCATCACTGCGGTGTCAGGCATGCGGAGTGCCCCAGCCACCTCTGAGGTTTCCTTTGACTCCTTTCCAGGGGCTGGAGAGTCGGGCAAGAGCACCATTGTGAAGCAGATGAAGTGAGTACGGCTGTGGCAAGGGCTGTGCCCCATGGCGGGGTACCCAGATTTGGGGGAGGGGGGACAAGGACTGAGCTCCGGAAACCCCTGGCAGAAGCATGGGGCCGTAGGAGCTGGGGGTGTCCCCAGCGCCATGCTGGTGGTGGGCTCCCAAAGAGGGGGTGATGCTGGGGAAAGGGGGGGCACCCCAGGGTGCCGGGCTCTGGGACTGAGGCTGACGTGTGGCCCCCAGGATCATCCACCAGGACGGCTACTCGCCCGAGGAGTGCATGGAGTTCAAGGCCATCATCTACGGCAACATCCTGCAGTCCATCCTGGCCATCATCCGCGCCATGTCCACGCTGGGCATCGACTACGCCGAGTCGGGACGGGCGGTCAGTGGGGGCGTCCCGCCCCGGGGGACGAGGGGAGGGGACAGCGCGTGGGGACGGTGGCAAAGGGCTCTCTCCTGCAGGACGACGGCCGGCAGCTCTTCAACCTGGCCGACTCCATCGAGGAGGGCACCATGCCTCCCGAGCTTGTCGACTGCATAAAGAAGCTGTGGAAGGACGGGGGGGTGCAGGCTTGCTTCGACAGAGCCGCCGAGTACCAGCTCAACGACTCAGCCGCGTAGTGAGTGTGGGGGCGCGCACGGGTCCCCCGCCCACTGCAGTCGCTCCCAGCTCCAAAATCCCCTCCCTGCTTCTGGGGACAGCCGCAACGCACCACATTGTTCTTTGCCCACCCAAGGGCCCCACGGGTGCTGTCTGGCCGCAGCCCCCCGTGTCCCCATGTCCCCACTGCGTGGGCAGGGTGAGGCCAGCTCAGGGCCATCTGTGCCCAGCTGCAGTCCCGCTGTGCCCCTCAGGGTGTGGGTTGGAGCCACGTCCTTCACCAAGCCCCAGCCCCAGACACCCCTTAAAAGCCCAGCTGTCACCCGGGGCTGGCATCGCACCCCCCGCAGGGACCGGGATGTCCCCAGCCCCTCCACAGCGTGTCCCCTGCTGTCCCCGCAGCTACCTGAACCAGCTGGACAGGATCACGGCCCCCGGGTACCTCCCCAACGAGCAGGACGTGCTGCGGTCCCGGGTGAAGACCACGGGCATCATTGAGACCAAATTCTCTGTCAAGGACCTGAATTTCAGGTGGGCGCACACACACCCACCCACACACACACACACCCACCCACACACACACACACCCACACACACACACACACACACACACACACACCCCCCCGTGAGCACGGGCAGCCCCTCCAGCCCCGACAGTGGGAACCGGGTCAGGGACGAAGGTACCAAATTGTCCCCCTGATGCTCTGGGGCCACCTAGACTAGGGGGATGAGAGATGGGTCACCGAACCCGTGCCCCCCGAGTGCTATGGGGGCACCGGCACCATCCCAGCGGGGGTGGCAGGAGCAGACGTGTCACCGCCCCGTCCTTGTCCCCTCCCCAGGATGTTCGACGTGGGAGGGCAGAGATCCGAGCGCAAGAAGTGGATCCACTGCTTCGAGGGCGTGACCTGCATCATCTTCTGCGGGGCGCTGAGCGCCTACGACATGGTGCTGGTGGAGGACGACGAAGTGGTGGGTTTGGGGCTGGGGAATGGCTCAGCAGCGATGGGGAGAGGAGCTGGGTGACAGCACCCACGCGGGTTGACCGCAGTGGGGCAGGTGAATGCTCTGGGTGCCTGGGGCACAGCCACGGGACGGGGCGCAGCGGGGGTGGCTCAGCCCGGCCCCAGCCCCTGCGTGCACCCGCGCTCCCCCCGGGGCAGGAACAGCCCAACCAAGCTGACGCTGGGGCGGTTGTGCCATGGGTTTGATCCTGCTGACCTTGAGGAAAAAACAGCTCCTTCCAAGGAGGCCTGGCCAAGAGCTGCCATCCTATGGGAACAAACACCCAGGTGCAGCAAAGCCCCGCGAGCCAACCCAAACACACCGAGACAACGCAGGAGGGGAGGGAGCCCCAGCAGAGGGGCCCAGAGAGCCCTGGTGGAGGAACGAAGCAAATCAGGGTGCTGGGGGGTGGAGGAGCAGCAACACGGCACAGCTTTTACCCTCCTCTGCTCCCCACGAGCAGCAGCACGGGGAAGGAGAGCAGAAGCTCACCAAGCGAAGCCTCTGGGCTCTGGGCAGGGGCTGCTCCGGCAGGGCCGTGCATTGCTCGGGGAAAGCAGCTTTGAGGGCAGAGACCTGGAGAGCAGAAACACGATGGCCCCAAGAAGGTGCCTTATTTCTCATCAAAAATAAGGGGCGAAGACAACCAGGAAAAGCAGGCTGCCATCTCCCCTGCTCCACGGCTTGGGGCAAAGTCTCCTTGCTGCTGTCTCCCGTAGCAGACGGTCCCGCGGATGCTCCCCGGTGTGCTGAGCTGGGTGCTGCCAGAGCTCGGCTCTGCTGCCTGGGGCTGGGTGACACCGGGTGTGCCTGGGCTGCCGCCAGCCCTTCCCCAACCCCTCACAATGACACCTTACTCACTGAAGTCCTTGGGAGGGGCTGTAATGCTTCCCCTGCAAAGGACAGGGCAGGATTAAGCCAAACTGTAGGAGCCGCAGACACCGAAGCAATACAGGAACGCTGCCACAGCAGGGACCTAGATGAGGAAAACCCATCCCCATCAAAGCACCTGCCTGCAGCGGGCAGCTGCAAAGGTCCAGCTGGAAGGAGCCTTGTCCTCCCTGCAGCGAACTGCAAAATGCACCTCTGCCCCCAAACCAGAGCAGGGCGATGCTTCCCCTTTCCGTGCTCCTTCGAAGCCAAGCTGTGGGTAACAGCTGAGGACTGCAGTACCCCGGGGAAATCCTGCAGCATCGCAGCACCGCATGGCCAGTGTGGAGAGGGGCACGGGGCCCTCGCTTGGGGCTCCTCCTGCCAACGATTCTCCCATGGGGATCAGTGCAAGCTGGTGCTGCTGACCGTCAGGACCAGAGCCCCAGAGCCCCACACTGCCTGCAGCTGCTTTGCTCCCCACCATGAGCAGCACCCCAACACACCTGGGTCGCTCGCACCATAGTGCGGGGGCTTTGCAGCTCTTCAGAAGAGCAAGGGGGCTCTTTGGAGGGCAGAGCCATTTGCTGCCGTAGCAAACAGCACAGCCCCAAGGGTTGCTCCACTGCTGCTGCCCTTTGCTTTGCAGCTTGGGGCAAAGCACCCGTCATAGCACCGGGGCACAAAAGGTGGTTTGGTTGTAACCAAGCGCCCATGCCCTGTCCCGTTTGCTTTCAGAACCGCATGCACGAATCCCTGCACCTATTCAACAGTATATGCAACCACAAGTTCTTTGCCGCCACATCCATCATCCTCTTCCTCAACAAGAAGGACCTTTTCGAGGAAAAGATCAAGAAGGTCCATCTCAGCATCTGCTTCCCCGATTATGATGGTGAGTGGGTCTGGTGCCCCTGGGGGCTGCCCTTCACTGGCTCCATTACGCTGGGAGCAGTCCCTGGAGCCGGGAGCAAACCGGGGGCAAGGCCAGCATGACTGGTGCCATCTGGAGGATGGAAGCAGGGCAAAACGGCTTCTTTTAAAACTGAGTTGGTAGCTGCGGTTAGCACCCAGCTGGGAGGCAGGCTGCGGGGCTGAATCCCAAACACAAGCCCCAGGCGTCCCCAGGTCCCCCAGCCCCGAGCGTCACCACCCCGGCAGAGGCGCCTGCAGCGAATCGCTCCCCTCCCTCCGCAGGTCCCAACACATTTGAAGACGCAGGAAATTACATCAAGACCCAGTTCCTTGATCTCAACATGCGAAAGGACGTGAAGGAAATCTACAGCCACATGACCTGTGCCACAGACACACAGAACGTCAAATTCGTCTTTGACGCAGTCACAGATGTCATCATCAAAGAGAACCTCAAGGACTGCGGGCTCTTCTGAACATCCGCGTGGCAGGTACTCCCCGTGGCAGCCAGCAGCCACGAGCAGCAGCCTCTGAGCCACAAAAAGCGCTGGGGAAGGGGGGTGGGGGGGCACAGCCAGCAGGGTGAGGGCAGCCCCTGAGCCTGGGGCTGGGAACCTCCGGGGGTGAGGGACGTGCTGGCAGCAGCAGGAGGGCAGCACTGCCTGAGCACGGCTTCGCTGCGCTCCCTGAGCAGCCCGGTGCTTGCTGCAAAGCAGCCTGACAAAACACGTTCACACCCCTGCTTTGTGGAGAGAGATGGAAACAGCAGATTATAGCCCAAACTATGCACTTCAGCAGGATCAGACGCCTTTATCTCAGGCCTCCTGTTGCCACAACACTCTGCTCACTGCTCCCTAAAAACAGCAGCAGGAGCTCCCCTTGTGCCTGACTGCTGAGAGCTGCAGGGGAAATGGGGCAGGCGGGCGGCAATAGGACAGGGAGAAGCCTTGGGCCAGGGCTCCCCACACCAAGGCAGCCCCCTTCTGCTTGGAGCACGCGGCAGGCTTCGGCTGCGAGCCCGCTGCTGGCACCACGGAAAAGATGAGCACATCGAGTGCTGGCAGCAGCCGGGGGGCCCTGCCTTCTCCCTGGGTTACAGGCAGCAGCGAAAGCTCCAGCCAACGATCAGCTAGGGAATAACAGGTTTACACCACCCTCACCCTCCAGCTACGTGCTGCCGCCCGGGCCCTGCTTTTGAGGCCGGTGGTGCAATGCAGATCTGCCTCTACAAGAGCCCTTCCCGGGCGTTACGCTGGGAACACCTTTGCTGTGTTTAATACCCTCTTCTTTCCTCCTCCCTGCCAGAAGAGAAAATGACTTCAGCTTCACATCGCCGTTCTGCTGAGCAGAGCCAAAAGGATTAAAGAAAAAAAAAAGCTACCTGGCCCCCACTTTTTCTATGACCTACTCAACCAACCACCTGCGTTCAAGCCCGTAATAGGCAGGGGCTGAAGCCGAACTTCCTGCTCCCTTTCACGGCCATTTCCTCTTTTTAAAGAAAGAAACCCCGGCTCCCTGCAGTGCTGGGAGGTCAGCGTTGATCGATGAGATGCGGAGCGGTTTGACACCAAAGAGCACACAGACCCCAGTGCATCAGAGAAATTAACGCCGAGCTGCCACACGCCCCCCTGCACAGCCGAAGGTGGCACCGCCACGGGACCGGTGCCAGGCACCCGCCCTGCCCTCGCCCGCTTTGTCAAACCTTAATTGGGTTGAACAGGGAATTTCTGGGCAAGGGGGGTGCCGCCTCCGAGTCATGCCTGGTAGCCAGCCCTGTGGCAGGAGGAATGAATTATTTTGTGCTGTACATAAGTCCCGAGACTTCGGTGAATTTCTCAGAAAAATCTTCCTACTGGAAAAAGGTCGAGAGCTGCTGCTGCCCCCCCTTGTGCTCTGCCCCCAGACAGCCTTAAGCAGACGAGCGGCCGGTCCTGGCCACCTTGCCCCGTGCCCACCAGCCAGGGCAGGGGACGCAGGAGCACTGGGGGCCAAGGGATGCCACCACGCCTCCAGCGGAGGAAGGGGTCGGATAAAGAGGAAATGGTTACTTGAAAGATTTTCATTCTGCTACTTAGAGCTGTATTTGCTCTTACTGTTTGTAAATAAATCCGTGTCGGTACTGTAGACAAGTCCCGTATCCTCTCAATGTCTACTGCAGGGTCACCTATACGGCTTCACTAAACAGTAGGGGAAAAAAATAAAGAACTATGCATGACATGGATGTCTCATTTCTCCCACTTGCATGTCTCTGTGATGATTGCTCCCAAGCCCCTTTCCTGTCTCAGAACGCCTGAAGCAAGGAACATTTTGTGTTCTTTGCCTGAGCTGCTCTCCCCACGTGCTGCACACACGGGTCCCCCGCCACCATCAGCTGTGCCCAGGCGGCACGGAGCAGGGCCACCACCACCCTCCTTGTCCAGGGGTGCACATGGGTGCCACCAAACCACTGCCAGCTGGAATTAAGCCTTCCCAAAACACCCCCCCCATGATAAGGGACGTACCTGGGGCTGCCCTCCCGCCCGGCTCCAGCAGCGGTTGGAATGCGATTGCAGGGAAGCTTTGCATTAATTTGTTTAAAAGACAAGGCGAGCTGTGTCATGCATTAGAGTGAAGCTCAAGTAAAGCCTCGAGGCCTTGCTAAAAGGGAATTGTCAGACAGGCAGTAGAGCTCAAGGTAATTTGGGAAAAAAAAATCTGAACTATAACCACAGTCTGTAGAGCTGCTGGGCACTGCTGCATGTTTGGCACCCAGCAGACACCGTGACATGGCCATTTCCCACACCCAGAAGCACCCCTCAGGTTATCTTGCTCTTGCAGCGCTGCACTTCTAGGCAAGAAGCTTCAGAACGGGTTACAGCCACGTCACCTAACAGCAGCCCAGAGCAGTGAACAACTGGATGGATGTCTGCTCTCTGCCATCTGTGCCAGCACAACCCCAGCCCTCGGGAGCAGCAGAGAGCACCAAGAGCCATGTGTTACACGGCCCGAGGAGCCCTCCCAGGCACATCCCATCAGCTACGCCCGCTTCCCAGCCAAGTGCGTGCCTTCCTGCAGCTGGACGGGCAAAGCGCAGAAGGGGAGAGAACTTCTGGAGGAATTACAAAAACTAGGGAAAAGGCTCAACTGTTTACTCACCATTTTAATACTGCCAACAACTATAACAGATTGAAACTGTACACATGACAAACTGGGAAAAGAGTCTAAATGCAATGGTTCAGCAAAGGAATGTACTGACTGGTTCTGAACATTACTACAGTAAAAACAATGGCAAACAAGAATTTGGCACCACATATACAAAGTAAAGGCATGCTGTCAATACAGTTTAAGAGTCTCCGAACAGAAAAAGCCATGGTAAATGCAGAACAAAGTGCACCCTTTAAAAAATTGCCCACCGGTTTAGACCAAAAATGCACAAGAATCTAAGTGGTTGATTTAGTAGCTCTGTAGCAGCACACATTTTCCATCTAATTTGGAGCTCGGCATTTCAGCTCTCCAACTGACACAGCCCGGGTACATGTCCACCACAAAGCTGGCTTGATGCTTACCACACAGTATAAATCCCATTTGGATATCAGCATAAATCAGGTTCACCCCTAACCATAAACTAAAAAGACTTCATATATCCTGCTGCAGAAGCTTCTTTAAAAAGCCTTATGGTAGCAGGACGGTAACAAACTACACATCAGAAAAAGCCGAAGCTATCGCCATAAGAGCTCTAAGGATCCATTAAGTAGTTGCAGAAATATTAAATTCTGACCATACCAAGTGTTAAAAACAAAGAGTTCCTGCTAAGAGGAATACTTTCTGCATGATCTGGTCACATGTGCATAGTTAAGTGATTTTTTTGTTTTTATTTTTAAAACAAGATTTGTTTGCAAATAAAGAAATAAAATTTAGTAAAGTTATAGTTTTCTTGATGGAAAAAACCTTAAAAACAGACTAGTGGTGGCTTGTTAACCAAAGAAAGAGAGAAAGCTACATATCGAAGGTCTGGAATCCAGCACCTTAACTTCACAACAGCTGTACACATTTGAGATTACACCATCCAAACGATGCCAGGATGATCTAGTCACACTAACAGTTGTTCCATCTTGACCTAACTTCAACATCCCATATCAATAAAAAGGTCCCTAATACAGAAGATTGTGCTAAAGAATGCAACGATTCTGCATGCTGTTTTCGTTTCCCTGGTCCTGTTCATGCTTGCAGCTGTCCCCATGAGGCAGCAAAGAGTCTGGTTCTCAAAACGCCACATCATAAGAACTGAAAAGAGAACACGGAGCATTAGTGCAGTACAAGACAAAGCCAGACCAAGCTGGTGTGCAAAGCTTAAACTCTGCGCGCAGCCAAGCAGCTTAGCTTTACCTTCTTCCCACGCCCCTTCTCAATAGAGTCCACATTCCTTCAGGTTGTTCTTAATGATAACATCTGTAACAGCATCGAACACAAACTGCACGTTCTTGGTGTCAGTGGCACAGGTGAAGTGTGTGTAGATCTCCTTGGTGTCTTTTCTTCGGTTCAGATCTTCAAACTGACACTGGATGTACGCAGCTGCTTCCTCGTATGTGTTGGAGCCTGACAAAGAGAAGAGCCCTTACTTTAGCCAGCAGTTCACAGCAGAGAGTTTTTGCACAGATCTTTTAAGCACATATTAAGCTGCTTGCAACCATCTGCCTTATCCAGCTACAAATCCAAATCCACAATTAACCCCTTCTTGCAAATCTGAACTCTATTCCCAGCTTCTGCCCAGTGACCTTGGACAAGTTGTTCACTGCTGCACATCTCCGACTGCTCCCCACCCCAGACCCTCCGCTCAGAGACTGGAACATCACCATCACGCCTCTTCACGAGCAACCTGTGAGATCCAAAAGGGAACGCTGCACATCGGCTACCAAAAGGCTTTGTGCTAGAAACTGTTATATTGCAAGAGCGACAATGTCAGGAACAACCAGGTTTGAGGGAAGGGCAGCTTCAAAAATCTAAATGCCTCAAGCACTGACCGTGTAACACACCATCCCTGTGCAGGTGGCAGCAGGGAAGGGCTGCAGAACAGACTATTGCTGAAACAGACACCAGAGTGAAGAAGGGCCTTACCCAGGATGCGGATAAACTTGATAGCCTCGAAAATAGAGGTTAAATGGAAGCATTGTCCTAGTACAACGTGGAAAACACAGTGACCTTGACTTGCAGTGCAATACTGTTCAGTGTCTTTGCTTTTCAAACTCCAGGCCATAAAACACGTGGACAAAGGCTATTCCAAACCACAGACATGCACAACCACGTCCCTCCTGAGAAAATGAGTTATCAGCTAGCTGGACAGCTCAGAGATGCTGCCCGAGAGACAGAGTGATGGGAACAGGGAAAAAGATAATCTTGGATTTTGTAGGCTTTAACTGACTCATTCCTGGCCCTGGTGATGCAAACAAGATGCCATTTCATGAGCCCAGCCTTACCTGTGTATTCTGGATAGCAGATCGTTAATGGGCTTTTCTTAATCTTTTCCTCAAACAGGTCTTTCTTGTTCAAGAAAAGAATGATCGAGGTGTCTGTAAACCATTTGTTGTTACAAATGCTGTCAAACAGTTTCATACTCTCATGCATCCGGTTCTGAAAAGTAAAAAAAGAAGAAGGCGATGCATCACTCCGGAGTTATTTAGGGAGGATGAGGTGGGGGCAGACAGGCTTTACTACAAAGGCCAGACTAAGGCACCAAGCATTACACTGCTAAACACGCACGTCCTCACTGTCACCGCATCAGGAACAGTGCCCGTGGCCCTGAGGCTGGTGCTGCCTCACCCCGCTGCTCCCCCAGCCCATGCCCGATCCTCCATGGAGGAGCTCCCACCTCGGGAAGCAGGCTGCGGGGCCAGCACCACGAGCCACCCTCCTGTACACAGGCCCTGGGGAAAATTGTGCATTACCGTTATCTTTTTCTGGGGCAAGATACCGCAGGCTGCTGCAAGGAAGTGCTCTTCAGGGAACAACCACCACATAACAAAGGGACCGATCTAGAGACGTGCCCGTCCCACACAGGACAAGGTCTGCACTTGCTTCCACCTCCCTTCTGCTACAGGGCCACCCAGCCAGGCGTTAGCAACTCCTCGATGACATACCATTTCTTCGTCCTCGGCCAAGACAAGGTCATAATCACTGAGGGCCACACAGAAAATAATTGCTGTCACACCTTCAAAGCAATGGATCCACTTCTTCCGCTCTGACCGCTGGCCACCGACATCAAACATCCTGGGAGAGGCAGAAGAAAAGTCTCAGAAGCTAAGGAGACCTCTCTCCCCGGCCACCACCCCATCCACAAGAGATGGGGAGGCTCAGCTAAGGACTTTCCAACAAGCGGGGGTTAGGGAAAAACAGGTACACAGCCTTCCATCAGCAGGGCCAACAACGCGGAGCCTCCCTTCCTCAGGAGAATTCACTGAATTCTTGTTAGAGCAATTTCAGCACGAAGAAGTAGAGGTTCACCTACATCACTATCCAGAAGTCTGCTGATTCATCAGGGCATGCTTATTTTGTTCTCTGTCTCCTATTTCCTTAGCAACAATCCATTTGCTTGACTGGACTCCAAACACCTACTCACAGCCAGCTCTTCCAGTTCATTTACACTGCCTCTCACAAAGGATTATCTGGAACACACTACCTGCATGCTACTGCTGGGACTCGGAAGAATTAATGAGGTTAAGAAACAGCTTTTGTTTGTTTGTTTGTTTTCAAAAAGAAGTGTCTGTTGTCTACTGAAGTTTAAAGGCTTCAGCTACTTACAGAATTTCTGGCTATAGAAGAGAGGCAAGCACCTCGGATAGTTACAACACCCTGCTCACTGAAGCGTTTTGATGAGATGCAGGGTTGCCCACTATGTTCTGATGCGCTGTGACTTAATTAAATGAAGCCAGATACAAGTCAATATCCAAGAGCTATGGAAATCATAAACATCGATTTGTTATCACAGCAAACACATAGACAAGAGACACTACCCAGTGTGGGCCAAAAGCAATACAACTTAATGACAGCAAACGAGGGAGCCAGAAGAGCAGTTCAGCTAACTCCAATTTTCTATTTAAGGTAAACTGTCCCAGTGGAGCACGGAAGGAAAGATGAAAATCTCTGCAAAGATACCGGCTGTTTACTTAGTTTGCATTATTCGCCATTACTCGCTGCTTTTAGCACACAGTCATCTGAAGAGGAATAGCATCCCTGACAACTCAGCTTCTCCACACTAATCCAA